CTTGTAACACATGTATGCAGTATTATTAAATCTAAGCCTTTACACTAACAAGGTATTTAGTAAGGAATTACTCAGTACACCGTTACTTTATTGGCCTAGGAAAATAAATAGTAAACTTAAGTATAAAAAAATACCAATTACAATATTTTAACAGGTAGATAAAGAATGTAAAAGTAAAACACAACTTATACAGTATAATAAGTAAACTTATGTTAACTTGAGGTTTTAAGCTGTTAGCTTAGGATGACTTATAATCGGAATTTTATTTACATTATTTATGTACTTCAAAAGCTAAGAAGAGAGCACAAAGCAAGAATGCATGTAGAAGTGTAATTGTATGTTGAACAAAAAATAAAGTAAATAAATTTATAACCGATTATTGTTATACGATATTATCACTTATTTGATTTAAAATTATGAGTTGGCCTTTTAAAATTCGTTTAATCATTTCCATAAAGACACTTTTTTTAACTAAAATATTTTAGAATGTATACTTCTATGTAAGTGGTAGATATATGGTAATTTTACTATATCTAAATTAAAGATTATTTATATTTGATAGCTTTATTTAAGGTTTAGGTTTCAAGCCTAAATCGTTTATTACTTAAAAATAATTGTCAACACATAACTTAAAATCCTAACCGACAGTATTAAAATAAAAAGCATTTTTACTGGCTGATGGAGGTACGTGGTAAATAAATGACACCAAATATATTTGAAAAAATGTACGGTTACGTAGTGTAGTTATATTAGAGACTCTTGAAAAAGGGAATGGGGGAAACCTCTAAACAGATGGGGCGCCAACAAGGTAAGGTTGTCAGTCAATTAATATTCTTTATAAAGGTGTCTCACCAGGTGACGTTGGAACAGATGTGTCATTTATAACATTTTCACCAGCGTTTAATGAGGAAAAACTAATCAAAAGTTGTGGACAAACGTGTCTAGCATATTTTTGCAAATCAATAAAGTAAGCTCCATAAACGTGTTTTTATTAAAAACGAAAAAAGAGTAAAAATCGGTAGTATATAAAACACTTTATTAAATGTTACAACTGTTAGAAGCAAAACTTAGGCTTTACAGTCTGGCCACGTTCACATCATTGCTCGATTGTCTTCCGCAGACTGTTTGTCTTATCAACAATTTGAAATCATAAAAAGATTTCTTGTTAAAGATTTGTTGCGATTTTTATTAGATGGTTCGTGTATTTAAAACTGAAAATAATCCCATTACTACCCGTAATAGTAGTTAACTAAATAAAAATTTTAAAAAAAATTACGAAATTTGGGAAATGTAAAATTTTACCATATAGTTTTTAAAACGATTCATTAAAGGATAGAGCATATGATCCTTTTATATATGTTGCAAAGTTTCGCAAATGGTATCAAAATATGATTAAAAACTTCCTGATTAAAATAAGCTTAAAAGTTTTGTATAATAAACTTCAGCCATCGTCTATAATGCGAGGATCATTTTATCCTCACTCACGAACCACTTAATCATAAGTGTTGGTCTTGCTTGATTGCTTTCTTCTTAAATGACTTAACTTTTATGAATCTTAAATTCTTTAGCAGGCCTACAACTGGTTTTTGATGGCCTGGGTCTTCTTCCCGTTTTAGTTTCTACGGCATTCACTGGCAGGTCAAGCATGCCTTGAAGTTCATGCATCATTGTGAAAAAAAACTGTCATGCTAAAAACAGGTAATTTAAAGTATAATGTATTTAACATACTATTATAGGGTTAGGTATTACAATATTACTAAACAAGCGTCCGAGGTAAAATACTTCCTTATCAATATGATGTTACGACTTCTAGACACACACCCAAAACTTACTTTAATATCACCTACTTCTACTTCATCTCTTCTCTTTGGAAGAAGATATTACCAGTCCTTGAAGTGCGAGGATCATTCTATCCTCACTCACGAACCACTTAATCATAAGTGCTGGTCTTTGATTGTTTTTTTCTTAACTGACATAACTTTGTGAATCTTAATTTATTCTTTAGCAGGCCTACAACTGGTTTTTGATGGACTGGGTCTTCTTCCCGTTTTACTTTCTACGGCATTCACTGGCAGGTCTAGCATGCCTTGAGTTCCTAATTAGGTTTACCTACACTTGGCATTTCGACATTTAATTTAATCTCTAACTCAAAAAATGCCACAATTTTACACTTTTAACGAATTTCCCATATAGGGAATAAGCTATTTTTAATATTATAATATTAAGAAGCGAAAATTCAGCTTGACAGTTGGGCCAGATTCACAATATTAATCGATTGTCTTCCGCAGAATTCGATTCTTATCTAAGATTTTAAAACATTAACAGCTTTCTTGTTAACGATTTGTATATGCTGTTTAGTCAGAGAAATAAAGGATATGACCTTGAAATATTTCAAGAAAACGTTGTATGGTTGGACAAATGTTTAAGATAAATTACCACGTGTATCTTTTTAGATTTATCTAAACGAAACCTCTAGTCCATACATTTCTTTTGAACGTTTCGTACTTTGGACATTTTTTAAGATTATTTTTCTTATACCTCTAGTTCTTATTGATGATTGTAGACTCAGCATAAAGACTCAGTTTCTCTCCTCAGTGAAACATTGAAACCACTGCTTTGCATCCTGCCATTTACACAATATTCGAATCAGCGTTAGGAGTGAAGAATACTTTAGAACAAATTTGCAAAACGAGATCACCTATGATGACATGTCTAATTACTACTGACTTCTTACCAATTCCAAAAATTCTTGATGTCGTGTCACATCCAGAAAATGTGTGTTGTGTAAGCAAACAACCAGTCGTAGCATATACTACATTGTCCCCTAGTAACTGTTTTAAAACTTTAACGTAATATACATTTTGCTTTAGCTTTGCCTGATATAGAGATCTTTGCAGTGGTATAACAACAATACAAGTAGGTCTGTATCTTCTCCAATAATGGTTGTTGACTCAGAAGCTAACATTTATAATTTTGCTTTTGCAGAGCTCCCTATTTGGTGAGTTGGTGGGAAGGCTTCCCTATCGCCCATGGTATCAGGAGTGTGTATTATTATAGAGTTGTTCTCTACCCAGACTTGTCCTCTACCCAGACTTGTCCTCTATCCAGACTTGTCCTTTTGCTTGGATTATGATGTGGATGAGTCTTCCTTTTCTGTTCTACTGTAAAGACCAGGTCATCAACTCCGCCAGAGGCGAGAGTAGTATCTCATCTTTTCTCTACATAAGAGAGTTACATCCCTTACCACATCAAGTAATGTGTGTAATATGTGATGGCTCCTGGCATTCAGTCTGCAATGTATGTTTCTGTGATTTCGATAACTCGCCCTATTTAAGGCTTGATCTTTGACACATTTAAATTTTACATTGGACCTCAATTCTTATTAAAATGTTGTGTACATGTTATCAATGATATCACTGTCCTAGTTTTAGGAGTATTTCATTTTGATTTATATAATTATTATCTTGGCAGTAGTGGTGGAACCAAGGTGGTACATCACCGTCCTTCCAGCGGCCAGTACATGTTGGCAGCGATGTATTATATCTTGTGTTGTGGGTTTATCATTTCTACATAATCTAAATTCAACATAATTTTTTTGATGAACTTCGCAGTAGTGGCGAAATTTGCACATGGAATTTGGTGCTCCGGCAGCACATTACAAATGGTGTCTACTTAATGGATTTTTTCACTATAGGGCTGAAGAAACAGTAAGTAACAAAGCTTCACAACGAATCTCACTCCTTTCTGCACTCATATTCTATTCCAAATTCATACTCCATGCATGTTTAGGTATCCTAATTGGTTACTCTACAAAAATATTTGGTCTTAGCTTTGATTTTGAAATTGCGTCATAACGTAGTTGTTTTGCAGTGGGGGTTCCCAACAATGTTAGACACAGTGTTATGTGTTGCACCTACAGACAGCTGATGAGTTATTGGTTTGATGCTCTGATATACATCACGCTCACATGCCAAATGTAGATATCACGTGATTTACATGCACTCTCTCTCTACCCCATTGGCCCACCCGTTATGTAATACTCAGTTTGATGATTTAATTATAATTTATTATTTAAGAGGGTTATTTACTAATTTTATTCGCTTCTTATTATACAGGGTGAGTTTCTACTGACGCCCACATCCTTGAAAGATGCTTAATAATGCCTGAAAGTTTCATTACAATCTGTCGAGCGGTTTCGGAATCCATAACGTATATACACATATATATACATACATACATAGTTCCTCTTTTATAGATATAGATTTTGTAACATTCTGCTTATTATTGACTTATTCGTACAACTCTTGGTATAATACAGGGTGAGTTTCTACTGACGCTCATAACTTCGCCAGTGGATTCTACTGATCAAAATGAACAAAAAAGTTGATATAAACCCTAGTCCGATTCCGAACCGTTTGGTCGTAATTGAGAATTTTGTGTTTTCTAAAAATATTGGACTTTCTGTCACTATTTACTTTATAAAAATAAAACCAATTACTCTAGCGATTTATATCAAAAATAATTTGAAAGGGCATTAAATTTGCTACAAAACCAAGGTTACATGAAAAAATATTTCATTACATACATCGGTTCCCAGCAGAATTAAAGTAAAAAATATCGTATAATAGTTATTTTGTTTAAGTTTTAAGACCCATTTTTCACACCTTATTCTGGTGCCACGCAATGTCCAACTAGATAAATAACTTCCTCATTTAATAAGCTTTAAATTGATATGCAATTTTAAATTGTTGTTGTTAGAATTGACAGAAAAACTACCATCAAACTAAAGTAAAACACGGTTTACCGATTTTGTTTTAGCAAGGTAACAAAACTACTAATATTAAACTCACTGATTTACACATGTCTTGGTTGAAATCGTACTGGTTCAAATCAGCTGATTCAATTGTTATGATTTGTAAACAAGTCTAAATCAGCTATAGTAAATAACGTTATTTGGTTTCCTAGTCAGATTAAAACGCTTGTTTGTTATTTTTTACGTTATGGATCCTTTCACAAGTTCAGAATATGCTGATATGCATTATGTTTATGGTTTTTGTTCCGGAAATGCGTCTGAAAGTGTTCGCGAGTACATTCGACGCTTTCCAGACAGGAGGATTCCTGATCGAAAAACATTTATTCGCGTCCACCAGTGTTTGCGTGAAAATGGAAAGTTTCCCACCAACGGCCGCTTAGTTGGAAACTTTATGCAAGATGTCGGATTGGAAGAGGCTGTCTTAGAACGGGTAAGTGAAGATCCAAGGATAAGTACGAGGACATTAGCCCGTGAGTTTGGGGTATCTCAAAAATTTGTGTCAAAACTATTACGAAAAGAGCGGTTGCACCCATTTCATTTCACGCGCGTCCAGAAACTCGAGCCGAGAGATCCACCTCAGAGGCTCCAGTTTTGTCAGTGGATCCGGCAACATGACCACATGGATTTCCTGAAAACAATTTTATGGACTGATGAATGTACGTTTACGAGAGATGGAGTCTTTAATTTCCATAATGAGCATCACTATGCTGACGATAATCCGCACCTCGTTCGTGAATCTAGGAGTCAGTCACGATTCAAGGTAAATGTGTGGGCTGGACTGATAGGAAATCGAGTGATTGGACCATATCTTGACCTTCCTCCAACACTGAATGGAGTTGACTACTTACAGTTCCTAACTGAAATCCTACCAGAACTCCTGGAGGACATTCCATTGAATTTGCGAGATCGCATTGTTTACCAAGCTGATGGCGCACCCCCGCACTTCAATCTCAATGTACGTGACTATTTAAGCAACAACTTCCGCTTGTGGATAGGAAGAGATGGAACCGTTGCCTGGCCTCCACGGTCACCAGACCTCAATCCATTGGATTATTACTTTTGGGGGTATCTTAAACAAGAAGTTTATCGGACGCCAGTGGAATCAGCTGAAGAAGTGAGAAACCGAATTGTCACAGCTACTGCACGACTAAGCAATACGGTAAACTTGAATGCTACTGTTAGAGAGTTGAGAAAACGTGTCCGCATCTGCATCAGACAAAATGGTGGTCATTTCGAAAACTTGCTTAAGTAGCAATCAACATTGATTGTCTATTCTGAACGCTTGTAATTAATTTGTTAATGCCATTGAGTTACTGTATGAAAATGTTGTGTTCATTTGTCTTGCATTATTAAAATAAGAAAACCCTTACTCGTAAACCTGGTTTTTATTTAGTTTCATAGTAGTTTTGTTCATAGTAGACTTGTTTACAAATCATAACAATTGAATCAGCTGATTTGAACCAGTACGATTTCAACCAAGACATGTGTAAATCAGTGAGTTTAATATTAGTAGTTTTGTTACCTTGCTAAAACCAAATCGGTAAACCGTGTTTTACTTTAGTTTGATGGTAGTTTTTCTGTCAATTCTAACAACAACAATTTAAAATTGCATATCAATTTAAAGCTTATTAAATGAGAAAGTTTTTTATCTAGTTGGACATTGCGTGGCACCAGAATAAGGTGTGAAAAATGGGTCTTAAAACTTAAACAAAATAACTATTATACGATATTTTTTACTTTAATTCTGCTAGGAACCGATGTATGTAATGAAATATTTTTTCATGTAACCTTGGTTTTGTAGCAAATTTAATGCCCTTTCGAATTATTTTTGATATTAATCGCTAGAGTAATTGGTTTTATTTTTATAAAGTAAATAGTGACAGAAAGTCCAATATTTTTAGAAAACACAAAATTCTCAATTACGACCAAACGGTTCGGAATCGGACTAGGGTTTATATCAACTTTTTTGTTCATTTTGATCAGTAGAATCCACTGGCGAAGTTATGGGCGTCAGTAGAAACTCACCCTGTATTATACCAAGAGTTGTACGAATAAGTCAATAATAAGCAGAATGTTACAAAATCTATATCTATAAAAGAGGAACTATGTATGTATGTATATATATGTGTATATACGTTATGGATTCCGAAACCGCTCGACAGATTGTAATGAAACTTTCAGGCATTATTAAGCATCTTTCAAGGATGGTTCGAGTGAAGTTTGGTGCAGATCCGTCAAAAGGGCTCTGCCCCAGAGGGTTTTAAGTGGGCCAATGTCAGACTTTTTGATCTAGAATGTTTACAAATAAATATAATTTAAAAGCAGATGTTTATTTCACCAACTGTTTTGTATTAGCAACTGTAACATTCTGTATTAGCATTAGTCATGATTTGAAATAGTGCCACAGTGTTTCTACAGATTGCAGCACAGAAAACTATTTTACTTTTGAACAAGTCCAAATGTATTAAACCCCAATCGCAGCACACCTGTGCACTTAACAACGTTTAAATTCTCCAATGTTGAATATTAAAACATAAAAACCTTTATAAAAGTACTGTATTATAAACAATAAAAGGGATGACTTTTTTAAATGTATGACAACAGCTAATTTGCAACCAAAAGGTGAGTGAGCGTAGCGAACGAACATCAACCTGGAGGCGAGTAAGCGTAGCGAACGAGCTAACCTGAAAACAAGTGAGCGCAGCGAACGATTTCCAACTTGAAGGTGAGTGAGCGTAGCGAACGAACTTCAACCAGGACGTGATTGAGCCATGCGAATACTTATGAAGTTAAGCGGGGCAAAGCCCGCGGGTACAGCTAGTTAGTAAATACAAGTAGAACGAAGATAGCTGAGCGACCAAAGGAATGTTAAATCAGAGAAAGAAAAAATAGAAGTAATTACAGCTCTGAAAAACAAAAATTCAGCAGGAGTTGATAACATACCAATGTTATCAATGTATGTTAGAATGTTAAAAAAGTTCCCTATTGATTGGCAAGTAGTGGTGAACCCACAATATGACCTCACTTTCGGCGTTTTAGAGGCACTTTTAGGGCACTTTTTATAGGGGAAAAATGAGAAAAAAATGGAAGAGCTTTTTTTGGCCACTTTTTTAAAGACCCAGCTCTCGACCTATACACCCCTATATAAATTTTCTACTTTTTTAATACTGAAAAACGCGTCTGGAATATGGCTCATTTTTTTGGCCACCCGGCTCTCGGCACGCGAACTCGGGCGCGCTCCTGGTCGCGGGTGTGCTCTAGGCATGCTCTCGACCCATGGCGTGCTCCCGCTCGCGGGCATGCTCTTGGCATGCTCTTGACCCATGGCGTGCTCCATGCTATGGTCGGGCTCCTGCCCCATGCTCCCGCTCCTGACTCTAATGAATGACTGAGTGTAACCCAATGACCCCAATCAAAACTAATTGTTAATTTTCTCTGCCTGTCTGGCGCCAGTCTGTCTGGGGCAGGTTTTTTTGACAATTTTTGGGTATAAAAGGGGGAGATTCTATCGTATCCTCACTCACTTGGACCACCTCGCCCACCTGGACTACCTCGCCCGCCTGGACTACCTCACCCGCCTGGACCACCTCACCCGCCTGGACTACCTCGCCCGCCTGGACTTCCTCACCCGCCTGGACCACCTCACCCGCCTGGACTACCTCGCTCGCCTGGACCACCTCACCCGCCTGGACTACCTCGCCCGCCTGGACTACCTCGCCCACCTGGACCACCTCACCCGCCTGGACTACCTCGCCCGCCTGGACTACCTCGCCCGCCTGGACTACCTCGCCCGCCTGGACTACCTCGCCCGCCTGGACTACCTCGCCCGCCTGGACTACCTCGCCCGCCTGGACCACCTCACCCGCCTGGACTACCTCACCCGCCTGGACTACCTCACCCGCCTGGACTACCTCGCCCGCCTGGACTACCTCGCCCGCCTGGACCACCTCACCCGCCTGGACCACCTCGCCCGCCTGGACTACCTCGCCCGCCTGGACCACCTCACCCGCCTGGACCACCTCGCCCACCTGGACCACCTCACCCGCCTGGACTACCTCGCCCGCCTGGACTACCTCGCCCGCCTGGACTACCTCGCCCGCCTGGACTACCTCGCCCGCCTGGACTACCTCGCCCGCCTGGACTACCTCGCCCGCCTGGACTACCTCGCCCGCCTGGACTACCTCACCCGCCTGGACTACCTCACCCGCCTGGACTACCTCACCCGCCTGGACCACCTCGCCCGCCTGGACCACCTCGCCCGCCTGGACCATCTCACCCGCCTGGACTACCTCGCCCGCCTGGACTACCTCACCCGCCTGGACCACCTCACCCGCCTGGACTACCTCGCCCGCCTGGACTACCTCACCCGCCTGGACCACCTCACCCGCCTGGACTACCTCGCTCGCCTGGACTACCTCGCCCGCCTGGACTACCTCGCCCGCCTGGACTACCTCGCTCGCCTGGACCACCTCACCCGCCTGGACCACCTCACCCGCCTGGACTACCTCGCCCGCCTGGACTACCTCGCCCGCCTGGACCACCTCACCCGCCTGGACTACTTTGCTCATCACCTGAATCTTCTTGTTTTAACATGTAAGCTAGACTAGTGTAGGCCTAATATATTGTCGCGTGTCGGGTCATGGGATCAATTGGTTGTGACCAATTGATGCTTGTACTCATACTATGTATTTCTTTTAGTTTGAAGTTTAGTTTCTTTTAGTTCTTTAAGTTGAATTTAGTTTTGATTTAGAAAATTATAATTGCCAAATCTAATTGTGTGAAATAATTTTGAATATTAAAAATATAAAATTAATATTCAAAATTATTATTTTTATTAAATGAAATTTTTAAAATGTAATTTCTACTATATATAGAAGATGTCAACCTAGTTTTTTAGTTATATGTCAATTGTATGCTGCTTCTCTATCCAAAATGTAACCTTATTTTGTTATTACTATTTTTAAGCAAGTCAAAAGTGTACAAGTTATTTTTTTAAAACTTAGCCGAATCTCAATCACTGGGGACTTTGAGTCAAAAGTGTACAAGTTATTTTTTTTAAACTTAGCCGAATCTCAATCACTGGGGACTTTGAGTCAAAAGTGTACAAGTTATTTTTTTTAAACTTAGCCGAATCTCAATCTCTATATAATTTTTTCGTAGGTAGTCTTCTCTATATAACTAACACTAACTCTGTATAAATGTAGACTCAGCATTCTGCTAAAAAGAGTTTTTATTTAAGATTTAGAATTTAGTTTTGATTTAGAAAATTTTAATTGCCAAATATTATTGTATAAAATTGTTTTGAATATTAAAATTTAGAATTATGATTTGAATTATTACTTCTCATTAATTTAAATTGTAAATTGTTCTACTATATAGAAGATGCCAACCTATTTTTTAATTTCATATATAAAAATGAAGACCACATGTCAACATTGTTTTGCATCGCTCTCCAAAAAAAGCAACCTTATTCGCCACTACAAGGTAATACATAAAATGAAGGTGAAACTGTGCAAAGTTTGTGATTTAATCTGTGATAGTAACATAGCTCTAAAATCTCATATATTACAAACTCATAAGACTTGTAATTTCTGTAAAAGAAATGTTGTTGGTCATTTTAAAAGACACGTAAATTCTTGTAACAAATGTCCATATACAATGATTAAATTTGTCGGTGAATCGATTAAAACTGAACTTAAAAGTACTCTTCAGTCTTGTCCTCTACCGATAAAATGGACTTTAGTAAGGAGAATCAAATTTATAAAATATTCAATGGATCAAAACGGAAAATTAGTTAATGAGAAAGAATGTATTGCAGATTTTAGAAGCCTTACTTTCCTAACCATTGAGAAGAGAGATTTAAAGCATCAAATTGAAAATGCTCTTTTAAAGATTGACACTTCCATGCACAAATACCAAGCCGAGGGTAGTGGATGGATATATGACTATACTAAATATTGGCAGTTGCACGTTTACAAGTATAAGCCCCTAACTCCAAAGTCATATATCCCCACACCAAAAAGTATTAAATTGACAAAAGCAGTTTTAAATATAAAGAATGCTGATAATAAATGCTTCCTTTGGTCAATTTTAGCAGCTTTACATCCAAGGAATGCTAAAAATGCTGAAAGGGTATCGAAATATGCACCCTATGAAAATCAGTTAAATATGACAAACATAAAATATCCCGTAAAAATATCTGACATAGATCAATTTGAAAGAAAGAATAATATAAGTGTTAATGTATTTGGA